AGAAGAAGAGCCTTGGGTAAGCAGCAGCATAGAGCGATTGTTTCAGTTACATGGTTAATTATAAGAAAAGGGTGAACAATCAAGGGGTATTTCACTGTCCCTAGAATCTTGATACACACATCCATACCAGGAAAATGGCATGTCACACTCCCAAAGATTATTTAAACATCAAATTCAGACCTGGAATAACCTTTTTCCAAAAGCAAGAGCTGATTGGGTGTCACTTCCACTTTCTAAGAAAAGGGAGGCATTTTGGGTGAGATACAAGCTCCAGATAGTGTTTAAAAAGGCAAACTGGACCTCCTGAGGCCAAAGGGTGAAAATGCGGGGGGGGGGGACGGGCATGGAGTCAGAAAAAGGAAAATAACATGAGCTGTGACTTGAGTGAGGCACCATCAAATCCAGATTGCTAGAATTGTTTAGAGATAGTGGGCTAAATCCAAATATCAAACTCAAGCAGAGTAATTTAAATCAATGAAGCCTAGGCTGCAATTAGACAGTGGGAAAGCTGTATTGTACATTTGATTGCACTGGAAAGGGTTGCTTTGTTGGGAGCAATCTCACAGAAATGACTTCTCTGCCTGTTAAGAGAACCACTTCATTCTGGCCCCCAAAAGTAGTAGCCCTACTGCTGGACAGATCAGGGTCAGGCTGGAGTGCCATCCACTGTGTGTCGTATGATTGCCAGTAAATAGTTCACACTGGACTGCACCACAAGCAGTCCAAAATGCAAGCTGTATGTCCATTTGATAGCACCCTTAAATTATTCAAATCATGTATTTCAGTAGCTCTATTCAATGTGGGACTGATGACTGAAATTAGGCCAGGAGTAGGAAGAACACTAAGTCCAAACGTTCCCCATTATTGGCTATGCGAGCTAAGACGGATGGGAGTTGCAGTCCACAATTTGGAGGCCATGCATATTACCCATCCATGGACTAAATACAACTATAGATATATTTATTTATTTTCACTTTTATACCACCCATCTGGCCAAAGTCCACTCTGGGCGGTTTACAACGTATATAAATAGCATAATTAAAATACAGTTTAACAAAACAGAAAATAAAATTAATGAAACACAATGGCACACTGAATGAAGTTAACAGGTATGTATGTCTCATTGATTCCTTGGGTCCACTATGGTTAGGGCTAACTTCTGTGTTTAGTCAAGGGGTGGGCTAAATACAGTTCTCCAGATGTTGAACTGCAACAATCCTCACCATTGGGTATGTTGGTTAGGGCCAAAATGAATAGTAGTCCAACACAGCCTTGGAAGGCAGCACTCTGCCCTCGGTTGAGTTAATCTAGTTCAGGAGACACTGACTGCTCAAGAAACACAGTAGGCTAAACTGCCTCTGTAACAAAAAGGGGAAATTGAGAACTACTGGGGCATAATCTGCTCTGTCCTACATGTAAACCCTCTCTTTGAATTAGATTTGACTAACAAGAAGCAAATGGCACTTTTGCACAGAGATTAATCTTTTTCACTAAATATGCCAAGCACAACAGGGCTCACAATTTCCAAGGAACAAGCAGTACCTAAGCAAGGGAAACACCAGGCTGGGAAAGCACAAATATTTTTTTATGTTTGGCAGCAAATAGCCATTATGTAACCATATGCCAAGCTTACCAATTTTTTTTTTGGAATCACATCTGAGGGGGTAGTACAGTTTGCATTTTATGTTACATAATGTCTTGAATAATTCATGAACATGCGCATTAAAGAGGTTCTTAATAAGCCTTGAAGAATGTAAAAGATAAGCCCTTCACTTCTTGCAGATCCCTCTCTTCTCCCTGCACTAAAAAGAATTTCCCTTCTTTTGAGATTAAATTCTTTAGTATTACCAGACATTATTAATTACCAGAGCTAAGTCTCTTGTCCAGAATAAAGGTCTGCCATCACAGCGGACCCTCCACTTGCCAAAGGTTTTTCAAAGAACCAAATGTTAATTATAGAAACAAAGAAGCTTGTTTGAAAAAGAAAAAAGACTGGCATGTTATCAATGTTCATCCTGTGCTGCTTACAACATGGAATCAATTTTCAATGTGGGGCAGCAGATCAAGTGCTCGACTGGGGCTTGGAAGATCCAGGCTCAAAAACCCACTGAACAACCTTGGAGATCAAACATTCTCTGTCTGACTTACCTTGTGTGGATAGTGGACAAGAAGCATGCATACCATATTTTTTCATGTATAAGACACAACTTTTTCCTAAAATCATTACACAAAAAATTGAGGGGTGTCTTTTACACAGAAGTAAGCTGAGAGCACAGAGAGAACAAAACTGCATGTACCTTGCCTCTGTAAACAGGCTTCCTTCAATCATGAGGCTTAGCTTCCTGGTCAGGAGACTTAGCGTCCTCCAATCACGAGCCTTATGAAACTGATGTCAGCAGATGCTGTACAAACGAACTGGAACACACTTCGTTGGAAGTGGAGCCCGTAGGCTCAGATTCAACATGGACTCCTAATGTCCGAGCATTCAGAGCCCAGAGGCCGAACTCTCAAAGCTAAGTTTTCTTAATTTGGGGGTTAGAAAAGGGGTGGGTGGGTGTCTTATAAACAGCGGCATCTTATAAATGGAAAAATATGGTACCTTCTTGAGGCCATATATAAACAATACAAACAGCTGACATTGCTAATAAGGGACCTCTGCACTTGAGAATGAATATTGCTACATAAGACATACAAATGTCTTAGTGTGCAAAGGCCAGTTTTGCGTGGAGAAAGATTTGTATGAACTGTGGAGCTATCTGAATGCCTAGAACACTTACATTTGTACTGTGAAAGGGACAAGGTGGGCATGTTCCTTGAATATGCAAGGGCACTTCCAACCACTAGCCCCTGTGTGAACCAAAATTTAAGTGCCACCATTCAGACATTCCTAACAAGCTAACAAAAACACCCATGATATGGTTATTATTCATTCTGCAAATTTACCTATAGGAATGATTTATTCACAAGATTCCCCATGTAGCTGGATACCAAGAATGTAACAGCCCAAGTGAATAAAGCCTTACAAAGCCTTTTATGCATCCCAGGTGGATGAGACATGTGACAGCACTATATGGCCAAACCGAGTAATGTATTGACTCCAAATGTAACCAAATATTAGTACACAGAGCCCCAGGGAGAATATGCATCTACATTACAAACATCCTCACTTATACACAAGGACACAAAGTCATTCTTTTAACCCAGCATTTTCTACTCCAACAGCCCATTTCAGACAAAAGGCAAACTGAAATAAAAACACAGGCAGTTTGACAAAGATTTTGAATCAAAGATAGCAAATTACAAGAAGTCTAATCTATGGACAAGCACAAAATACTCTCCTTTGAGCCTGCATCCTTCTGTTCCATCACATGCATTTTGTGCATACAAGCATGCACAGAACCAGTTTCTACCTCCATCTGCCCCACTCCTTTCTATGGCTGCAATCCCATGCATGGGAGTAAGGGCCACTAAAGTCAGCAGTGCTTATTTCAGAGTAGTTACAGAAAAGTCTTATTATGCATACTGCATGCATCTCTCCATGGTTGGCCTGAATGGTGTACAGGAGGACAGGGATGTATAAGAAGGCATTTCAGAGTGACGTTTGTGATGCCAAATACCCAAATAAATGCTTCCTTGTAGTCTGTTTTGGATTTCCAATTCTAACCAAGTATATGCTCAGTTGAGGACTAGAGAGCACGTGACACAGGAAATGAATAAGAGAGTCAGCAAAAGCAGCCATGTGATTGGACACAGGTATGAATTCCCCAGAAACTAAAACTTACGCTCCAGTTGATTAATATAAGCCACTTTAGATGAAGTGGGAAGAACCAGACAGAACATTTCTCCCAGACACTACATTTTGCAACTAACAACAAGAGGTAAAGCAAAGCAAAGCTGCTTTTAGACTGCCTCATGCTGCTTAAAGCTCTAAGCTCTCTCGGGGCAGTTTACAACTTATTTATGCGTGATACACATTGCCCCCCCCCCAAGCTGGGTCCTCAATTTAGCAACCTCAGAAGGATGGAAGGCTGAGTCAACCTTGAGCTGGCCATCTAAGTCTGAGATCAACGTCAGGTCATGAGCAGAGTCTTCACTACAGTACTGCAGTTTAACCACTCAGCCACAAGGTTCCTTAGGTAAGAAGTAAAGGAAAAGTGGTACATATAAGCATAACACCAGAGTGGAGACTTGACAAATTGACACTGGATTCTTACAGTTTTCAGATAGGGAGGGGTCTGGACTTGTCCTGTGATCACTCAGAAGGGAGAAAGGCCCTGTCACTCACCACTGGTGTCTGCAGTGTGTAACCTAGAGATGCTTGAGATGTAGGTCAAGCAACTGCTGCTGGTTCCATAACTGATTTTAAAACAAGAGAGGGCAACATCCTGGGTTTGGGCAAATTACAACTCCTGGAATCACTAGGGGCCACATCCTTCCACAGTTGCTGACAACCACCATCTTTATTTCTGTCACTATTGCAAAAACCTCTGAGCTGTGCTACTGAACTGTGTCTCCACTGCTGGAAGAGCATTCCATCACTGCATCTACTCTCCCTGTACTGACATGGCACCATCAACCAGACAAAGAACCCAGACAGATGTAGGCCCAGCCTCATCTTCAGAGTAGACCTTTGGTCTAGTTGGGCAGGGTAGAAATCCAATAAAATAAATAAATAAAAATAGCCTGATTGTGCCAAAAACAAACCAACAATAATAAGATCAAGAATCTCCAAACTACGGCCCATGGGCCACATCCAGCTTTCCTTGCTGTTTTATCCAGTCCATTCACGCATGTGTGGGGGCAGGCAGGTGTATATGTGTGTGTGTAGGCAGGCATGCATATGTGGGTGCGTGTGGCCATGCGCATGTTCCTCTGGCCCTTAAAAATGTAAAAAATATACAATGTGGCCCTCATAATCAAAAGTGTGGAGACCCCTGAAAAAGGTCAGAGATTGTAACACCGAAAAGGAAGACCTGTCCATAAGAAAACACCCACTGATAATATGGGCAGTTGCCTTAATCTTTTAATGCAACAAACTGGGAAATTATATACAGTTCCTCCTTTATGTACAAGAATGCCTCAACACTAATTTTACACGATGAGACTATACCATGCCAGTTAACTCAAATTTAAATTTCACATCAACAAAACTAGACTAAAATAATAACAACAGTGTTAAGAGACACTGAACTTAGTACTTATCAAGACTTCAGAATATATGTCCCATCAGATAGAATGAAGCCCAACAGCTCTGTACGGTAATCTGCTACATGCTCAACAGCCTGTTGTTTTTCTTAATTTTGGAAAGTGTCACAACTAGAAACTTTATGGAGGTTCCAATGAACAATGGCTGCCTTGCTGGGATGCAGATTGTACATTTTATGCACTTAAGATGTATCCTGTCATGAATGCTTTGGTGCCACTTTTAGTTCCTCTGCAACTCTTCTTCTGGAAGACTCTGGAACACACAGCCTCTAAATCCATATATAACAGAGTTATTGAAGGAAGAAAATATGAAATATATCCACCTTTAGATAGTGAAAGTTCAAGATGTGATGCAATCAAATATTTTTCTATCATGTAATTAAGTGCCACTGGCAGATCCCTCTCTGTATTACACAATCAAAAATACAAATAAAGATTGTGACCACATTAAATTATCAAAATACAATAGAGCTCTCTTAATGTAAATCAATACAAGCTTGAGTTAAAAAAACATTTACCCAGGTTTAAATTCAGAACTAAAACAATGGAACTAAAAGTACATGCTAATTCTGAAGGACCTTTCATTTTCTGTAATATTTCCAGCAGTGATCAAATTTCACCGTTTCCACATTCAACCAATAAAGGCTCAGAGTGCAGAATTAAACAGATGTTTGCTTGTAGTTTTTTGTATCCAATACTTTCTTCCCACACATTGCGCAGATGCCTATGAAGAAGAAGCAAAAGTAAAGTGAAGTTTCTTTTCCTTGTGCAATTACCGTATTTTTCGCTCCATAAGACGCACAGACTTTCCACCCCCCCTGTTTTGTGGGGGGAAAGTGCGTCTTATGGTGCAAAAAATACGGTAGTTTCATTTCCTTACGATCTCATTGTGAGAACAAGGACACACAAAGAAGATATTTAAGGCAAATGTCTCACCCTTTTTGTATGCACATCCCTGACAGTAGTGAGAACCTGGCTGATGAACTGAACTTTTACAGATTCGGCATATTGCAAATTTATTTTTGCCATAGGGATCAAACCTAGGAAAGAAAGAAAATTGGTTATCTATTTCTTTATTTACTCTATTTTATGCTGCTACTTTGATGCTGGCTGAATAGCTCACTGGTTTAGGTTATCTGGCTGCGATGGCAGAGGTTGGGAGTTTTATTCCCCACTGTGCCTCCCAGGAGAACAGCCAACCTATGCGGCCTTATGCAAACTGCACAATCCTAGGGCACTCCCAGAAGAAGGGAATGGTAAACCACTTCTGTTTATTCTCTACCTAGAAAACAAGTTGACAACATTGTCACCATAAGTCAGAATTGACTTGATGACTATGATTATGCTACAGTAGTGCCTCGACTTATGACCGTCCCAACTTACGACCATTTCGAGTTACGTCCATCTTCTGGAACGGATTCTGGACGTAAGTCGAGGCACCACTGTAATTCTAGGACAATTAGCAAATCACATCAATTAAAAAAATAAATAGGCTCTATCATCTGGTTACAAACTAAAAAGAGAAAACACAGAAAGAGAGTGGGGAAGAGGAGGAACATCAGATTTTCAAGACAAGAACAACAGTGTGAATCATAAGCAAGCACTCCTATCTCATGATCTCTTGCTAATATTCTTGCTTGAATAACAACATGTTTCTTGTCCTTTGTGCTTGCAGGCTCGGGGCAATAAGCAGTTGCAGAGTGGTGAGTCCCTTATTTATTTATTTATTTCATTTATATCCTGCCTATCTGGTCGGGTCAGGACCACTCTAGGCGGCTAACAATCATAAAAATACAATAAAATATATAAACAATTTAAATAATAAAAGCGATACACAGAGTGAGAGAAACAATAAAAGAGGAAAGAAAAAGCGTCAGGAATTATTTGATGGGAAGGCCTGCCGAAACATCCATGTCTTTAATTCTTTCTGGTGGGAAAGGAAAAGCAAACTCCCTGAAAATGCTTCTTCTCAGGCCAACCAGTGGGGCAGGTTGGTTGCTCTCTTTGGCTTGATATTATTCTGTAGAAAATGGGATGCACCTTTTCAGCGACCCTGGGTCTTCCCTCTTTCCCCCATGGCAGAAACTATACAACTCCAAGACAATTGCTGATTTAAAGAAATGTGTTTCTGTTTACTTTAACACAAGTGGAGCATATGTGGGCAGAATAAAGTGGTCTGGAAAGATGAAAGTTGTTAATGAAGAGATTCTGAAAAGACACTTTCCAGTAGCACAAAGATAGCTCATCACTTTTGATGTATCAACATAGATTAGCTTCCACCATCAGCTTCTACAGAAGTATGTAGGTACTATTTTTTAATAAAACCATTTTTCTCACATCCCCTACACAAATGGGCAGACCAGCCAAGAGGATTTCTATATGATAGTAAGATGGTTTGAAAGCAAATAGCTATGTGGGATATAAAGGCTAGGAGTGGGAATGCTGTTTTACTTCTCTCTTGCCCCTGTAAGGAGGACAAAGAAATGACAAAAAAAATGAAGACCATTAAATGAACAGGACTTGTTAAGTCAACATTTATATAAGTCCAACTGATTCAAATAGACCAATAGCAACCGGATTTAGCCAACTGTTTTCTCTCTGCTTCAGCAACTGCTGTAGCCAGCCTGTATCTTCTGCATTGCTCTTCATTTCTCCGCAGAGAAGGAACAGTACAATTATGATGTAAGCAGACCAAGAGGCAAAGCAAGGACTATTTCAAGATGGGGGAGCATAGAAGAGAGTATAGGAAACAGAAAGTAAAAGACTAACAAATTTCCCAACACTTGACACCACTTACCTTGCCTTCTTTGATGTCAATGCTTTGTTTTCATTTAGTTTTCTCCCGCCACTTTCTGCAAAGAAAAAAAAACAGTATTGTTTAAAACAAGTAATTTGAAAACTGCTATAAGGTAAATCCATTTTCAAGACATCACACCTTTCCTGAACATATCAGAGAATTGGGGGAGAAGGAGTATAAAATACGTCTGATGTTCAGCTACATAGACTGGGCCCTCCTATCTGAGATACTATATTGAAGAAAACACATTGCATTTATATACATTTGATTTAAATAAAATCAACTCTAATGCTGTAAATAGTAATCATTGTTAATGTGGACCCATCAAAACAAGCAATCAATAGATGTATCCTATACATACTAGAAATGAATTACCGTATTTTTCTGTGTATAAGATGCCCCCATGTATAATACGCCCCCACTTTTCTAAGCCAAAATTAAGAAATCTAAGTGGGGCTCAGCAAATGTAGGGTAAAAAGGATCAAAGTGCTGCAGGATAGCTTTGATCCCTGCTTTTGCTCTTTGTGCTAAGCCCCACATGGCTTAGCAAAAGGAGGGGGAAAGGGATCAAAGCAATTCCACAACTGCACAATCGTTTTGATCCCTTTCCCCCTTATATAGCCATGGGATTGCTTTGATCCTTCCCCCTTCTTTTGTTAAGCCCCATCGGACTTAGCAAGCAGAGGGGAAAGTAGGGATCAAAGTGATCCTGCAGCACTTTGATCTCTGCTTTTCTTTTGCCAAGGCTTAGCAAGTGGAAGGGAAAGCAGGGATCAAGGCCCTGCAGGATCACTTTGATCCCTGCTTTCCCCTACCCACTTATTTTTTTCTCCTCAGCTTACTTCTGTGTATAAGACCATCCTCAATTTTTAGTCTAAATCTTTTAGGGAAAAGTATAGCCTTATACACGGAAGAATACGGTACACAGCCTAATGGTCTAGTGGTCAGTATAGTACCAGAATGTACCGGTACTTTCAAGGAACTATTATACAGTAAGAAACACTTTCTAGTGTCCTAAACAAAGTTTGGGGCATATACAATGAAACAGGTAATCACTCACATGCAGTCACCAAATTATTTAAGAATGTAGAGAAAATATAGCCTGCCAGAAAAAATTGCAAATTTTATTGCCTGTCTTTTTTTTGCCTTACTTAGTTTCTTCAAAGTTACTCTTAAAAAGCATGAACAACTGACATCTATTGTAGTGACATAAATCATTAGACGTACCCGTAGTGTTTCTTGCACCATCTTTCCATGTATCAGGTGTAATTACAGTACCAAGCTTTCTCTCACCTATGGAGAAGCATAGACATTCAGAATAAAAGCTGCAATCTTGTAACTAGTGCTAATGGGACTATTCTGTTGCCTAAGCACAGTATGCAAGGACAATCACACAAGAGTATCCTTCATTCCAACAGGCTTCCCATCATACAACAAATTGTGCAACTATTTGATCAATTCAGTGTCTATAAATCACTGTATGAAAAGTGGATATTCATGGGGAATGCATGGAATCTGATAGAATGTGTTGCTATCTCAGAAGGGCATCTAGCTGAATTATTACTGCCAAGTAAACATGTATAAAGTTAAAATTCCATATACATTTACCTAGGAGTAGGCCTCCCTTAACTAGCTGGGTAGCTCAGTGAATTAGGTATCTGGCTAGGGAGCCAGAAGTTGGGAATTCAATTCTCCACTGTGCCTTCCAGGAAAAGAGCCAGACAGTGTGGCCATGGGCAAGCTACAAAGTCCCAGGATGCCCCCAGAAGAAGGGTATGGTAAACGTCCTATCTAGAAAAGCTTGAAAATAGTCCCCATAGGTCAGAAATTACTTGACAACACACAGCTATTATTGTTAAGCCTGCCTCACTCAACATAGCAAAAAATATGGAACCTTGGATTAAAATGGAAATGCTATTTTTTCCCACTAGAAAAAATAGTTATGATATATATTATTCTGGGATAATGACTAAAATATTTGTAATAATGGTCTAAAGTAAATTGAGAGTCAACTTCCACTAAAATATATCCCCTAAATTACTAGAATTTATGTAAGCTTGCAACTCTAGCAGGGACTAACGGCTAAATTTAGGCTGATGTATTCATACAGTATATCCCTCAGCTCATGATTTCTTAGCAAATTTCAGAGGTGAAAAATACAAAATATCTTTAGGTATTTGGTAAAGAAATGCAGCAAGTGGCCTTGCCAATCATGTCGCTTCCACAATATGCCGTCAAGACCCTTGCATGACACTTATCTCCAATTCCTCTTATTTCTTGCCTCCTTCAGATTCCCCTGCATTCTGCAGATGTAAAAAAACTAGCCCATGACTGCAAAAGTATATGCCATAATTAATAGCTTATCCTGTATATTAAATCTCAAAGCATCCAACACTACTAATAAATAATACAAGATTATCTTCTGAGAATGTTAAGCCATGTAAGCATCTCCTCGCCACTTCCACAGTAAGTAGAGTGGGTAAAAATGATTTTTAAAACATGAGATTTTAAAAATCTGAAGTAAAAACCCTTAACTTTTATTGTTAAAATGCTTTTACTTAAAGAAAAGCCATTCATGATTATAATTTTACTTTAAAATGTGTTATAGCCAGAAGATCGTGTTACAGAACAGGATTATCAATTCTATGTTTCTTTTATGAGACAACATACTTTAAACATTTTGTAAAAAATATAAGTCAGATCTTGGATTGAGGTCTTAATTTTATGGGATTCCACTTCTGTAGAGATTTAGGGTAATCTTTGCCCCCTACCATGCATGGTAGCAGTTATCAGAAAAATATATAGTTCCAAAACTCAGATTCATATCTTCTTACAATAATATATTGATATGAGGAACAGCACATATGAACAGTCCTATTTTCCAACATTCACTAAAGCTATTTTGGGAGTTTTCTCTTGACAATAATATTCTAAATTCTTGGAACCTTTTTTAAAATCACAGTGACTGCTTTCCATAGTTCCTTGAATTATGCTTATTTCTTCTGAGTGGCAACTAACAACCCTAACTATTGTCCTTCTGTAACTTTGTGTAGACAAGTGAAATCTGTACTTTTTCTTTGAAAGTACAGGAAAAAGCATTTAATCATGTGATTGTCGGCCAACACACACACTCCAAAAAGTGCACTTTTTCTTGCTATAACCTCATTTTTCACTATCTTCTTCACCAGTGCACAGCCCTTGAAAAATGTTATTTATTGGTAGGAGAGTCAATCAGGGCAATAACACTGTGGTTATGACAAATAGGGTGGGCACTTTTCTGGGTAGTGATTTCAATCCAATATACCCTGAGAGTAAGTCCTTCTTTTAAATTGCTCAAACAGCACAATCCTATGTGCAGTTACTCAGTAGTACCCGTCTCTATGCCTAGTGGGACTTAAGAATGTGAAGCAATAGTCTTAACCATTTTCAAAACCTTTCTGAGACTTGGATAAAAGCTATGGAACTCATTCCAAGAAAAAATGGGACACACACACACACACAGAGAGTACACAGATGACTCTCTGGACTCCAGACCACAGGCTGAAACCTCCTGGTGTACAAGATTGTTAACTGAGGCAACGCTTCTCAAAGTCTAAAAGCCATGGGGCACCTCACGCCCCCGAAAAGCAGGGGTCGCCCCACAGCAACTGCTCCTTGGAAGCTCACTGAAAAGCAAACAACCGGAAGCCTCTGAGAAGGCCGGATAAACTCTGAAGAAGCCTAGTCCAGAACAGGGGCTCCCACAGTAACGGAACAGACCCTCGCCATGAGGAAGTTGCGCTAAGACTGAGAAAAGCGGTTAGTTTCTCCACTAAAGCTTGCAATTTACATGAACCTATATGGGGGGGTGTGTGTTTCCCAATAAAAAGTATCACACTCCCTCGCATTTGGATGATCTTGGAGTATCCAGACGGCCTTAGCCTGGTTCTTTCTCGCCTTTCTAGGGATTAACTACCAAAATAAGAAGCCTCGATCTCCTACTCCCTATTGATTCCTGGGCCATTCTCTCGGGGTTAAAGGAGGCCCAGCCCCAACCAAGGCATCCTTTATAAAGCCCCTTCCTCACGTTACGTCACACTCGTCAGCCACCCTCCGTCCCGCTCGCCCTCCCCCCATTCCACTCACACTTCTCGCAGACCATGGCGAGCCAGCCACGAACCGAGAGCCCCGCCGCCGCAGCAACAACAACAACAAAACACAGTTCCTTTCCCACTTCCGGCGGCTGCTTCACGTTCCTAAGTCTCCTCTTCCGGGTTCTTCCTCGAGCCGCACCCCTATTGGTTGAGAGCGCGCAGGAGGCCGGCCCGCGTTGGCGACGTATCGGAAAGACCCGACGTAGACGTTCTCGGGCCGCTGTGTGTCGTAGGCGGTGGCGAGGGTCAAGGGGAGGAAGGAAGGTGGTTGTTGGTGACCTTTGAACTGTGCTGCGGAGCTCCGCCCCCCCACCCCAGGTGCCGGGCCGACGCACAGGTAAGGCGGACTAGCCCTTCGGCGCCCTGTGGCCTGTCTCCCTTCATGGGGCTTCTGGAGGGGACGCTCCCTGCCTCTGTTTCCTCACCCAGCCTCTCCGCGGTATCCCCTAAAACCCTCCCCCCTCCGCCGTCCCTTTGCTTCGACCGTACGCAGTGACGAAGGGTAGGAAGGACCTTGGGGTCTCACTAGGGCTGCCCTCCAAGAGTTTGCTGCCTGAGGACGGACGAGAGGGCGCTCGCTTTCCCCATCCCATCCACCCCACAGAGGTGGCCCGACTGGCGGCGCGAAGTGATTCTGAGGCGTTCAGTCGAGGGGGGGGCAGTGCCCTGCACACCGTGCCTCAGGCAGCAGACTCGCTACAGGGGCCCGCCGCACAATGTGTGGTGTGTATATACGCAACCTGGTTCTCCAGCAAGGAAGTCCACCTGCGCGACTGTGAACTGTTGCCTGAGGCGAGGACCACACGGCCCAGGTTGAAAACACTGAAGTCTCTCCTGCCTTGGGTGGATATCGCCTTCTCTTTAATGAGAGCGCCAGTCCAGTTTCTCATCCTGGTGTGTTCTTATTTGGTTGATTTCATTTTGCCTTCTCAATATATTTCTGAATGAAATATGTTCTCATGTGCCCTTGAGGCATTTCTGAGTTATGAATTAGGGACCTCTTAGAAAACCCTTCCCTTAACCATGCTGCTCAGGTCTTGCAAACTCAGAGTGGTGTCTTTCGTTTTTGAGTTGATCTATCTTATTTTTTTTTATCTTCTTGCTTTCCTTCTCCTTTCAACTTTTCCCAGAAAAAGGAGCTTTCTAGCTTTAATGTGCAATGCAAAGACACAGTAGCATTACAATATATTCAACACACACAGTGAGTAAAGATTGCTTGGAAGAAAGTCAGGTCTAAACTGATTTTCAAAGAAACATATCCACTGCCATGTGGAGAAGTGATTCAGGTGTAACTCTGTACACAAAGAAGTTAGCTTCCCCCTGGATAGAAGCACTTCCAAATTAACCAGGGATGGGGACTTGAGTTGTGCAGTTCACTGTCAAGTTGAACTTAACGTTGCATTGGCGACTCAACTCGTTTTTTTCCCAGTGACTCAGACTCAACTCCCAATTTCACTACCATTTTTCTAAGTCACATTTTTGAGTCCCTATTCTTTTAATGAAGGACATTTTCGAGTCCCTATTTTAATGGAGATCATAAACCTGGAAGAAACTTTGTGATGCTCACCAGACGACACAGGAGAGGCAGTCAGACAGCGGAGGAGGTAGTGACAGGGAGGAAGGGTTTTTCAGAAGTGGGAGGGGTGAGGGAAGGAGAGGCAGGCTCAGTGTTGTTTTTTTATTAGCCATGACTCTGAGCGTGAAGGTGGGCTGGGCAAGTAGAGGGGACAGGGACGAGAAATATATATGACTGCTCTGCGTTTTTTCCACACTTGTGTATAGTCATCTGCTGGGATAGTTAGGCTGGGGATCAGCTCAACCTTTGTAGGCTCTTTTTGTTTCTCAAGACAATCAGGCTCAGGCATGGAGTGTGATTCAGTCTCATTCAGCACTGCTGCTGTACACACAGCAAGCTATCTGTCTAGTAGGTTAGGTAAGGCAGGTTGTTTGCTGTTGCTGCTGTTTTTATTAAGATAATGCTTTTTAAAATAGCAACAGTATTAGAGGCATATAGTATTACCTCAGGTCAAATGAAAAACAAACTACCTCTCTTTGTCTTTGGCCAAGCAGGTGCTTGTTCATGCTTAAAGTTTATTATATATTAAGTTTCCTCTTTGTAGGGGGGGGCAACAACTTGTTAATATGATTAAGGATGCTTTTCATCAATAGCAGCATCATTAGAGGCACATAGCATTATCTCAGGGCACATCCAGAAGCAAATTACCTTTCTCTGTCTCTTTAGCCAGACTAAGGCAGATTGCTGCTTTCCAGTCTTGCGCTACCTACTAGTCTAATATTTTTTCTTATTACTATTATATATCAGAGTTTTTTCAGGGTACACACTACTCCGTCCACACAGTCAGTCAGTCCCCACCAAGTTCAAGTTGTTTTCTAGTCTAAGGCAGGTTGCTGCATACTTCTTTCCAGTGTGGGGTTAATTATTATCTATTCATTATTTATATATTATCAGACTGAGACTGACGACACATTCACTGTGATTGGAAGCCAGACATGTTGAGAACACACAATCACGTCATCTCAATGAATGCTAAAAAGAAATCTATTGTAATCTTTGGCTTTACAGATGTTAAAAAGAAAATAAAAAAATTGTGCACCACAAAGTGCTGGTTTTGTGGCATCCTAATAACTGACAGCATGTCCACAACCTGTAGCTTTCTGCGGCACATTAAGACCCATTCAGGGAAGCATGAAGAATTTAACAGGGAGACAATAATGATGATGCTGCCTTCTCCAAACAGACCAGGCTTTCGGACCTCAGGTGTACGCTGCTGATGCATCACCCATGGAAAATACCTCAAAGTGTTATGGACAGTACCACCCAAAACAAAAGAGGATCATGAAGTCAATTGTAAATTATTTAACTGTTGAATGCTCTCTTCCACTATCTTTGTTTGAGACACCGCAGTTTCGCCAGTTCTGCACAGTGTTAGACCCGAGTTCCTGAGTCATGACAAGGGCTGTTGTGACCATGGAAATCAATAGACAGTATGCCAAAGTGAAAGAACTGGCAGCCAAGGCAGATGATGTGGCAATTACACTAGACATCTGGTTAGATAGGAGAATGTGAGGCTTCCTTGGTGTTGCTGCACATAGATTCCTCGATTTTGAACTGAAAACACTATTGCTAGCATGTCACAGATTTCTAGGGTGACATACTAGTAGGAATATATTTGCTGTGTCTGAAAACATCTGCATATCTTTCAAGATGAAAGATAAAATCTGCTACATAGTGATAGACAACACAGGTAGCATGATCAAGGCATTAACCACTGAAATTCTCTCTGGATGAATTGCTTGCAATCCAGTACCAAGAGTTGGCAGAAGACAGTAGTTGTGAGTTAGAGGAAAGCGGCAGCACCACAGTGGAGAACTTGGAAAACTGGGAGGATGTGGATGAAGATGTAGTCATGCCTCTTGTGCAGCAGGCCAGTTCTGCAGACCGAACCCAGCAGCCTTTGAAGTGGCTGGCGTGCTTTGCCACACCCTGCAGTTATGTGTGAATGATGGCTTAAAAGAAACCAAAATGAACACAGTCCTAGCCAAGTTCTCCAAAACTTGTAGTTTGCTGCACACAAGCACTGTATTGAAAGATGTGTTTGAAAGACATTTGGGGCCGAATGTCACAATTCCACAAGTCGCCAGCACTAGATGGGACAGTACCATGCACCAGGTCAATGCATTCCTTGAGCTCAATGAGGAACAGGTCAGGAGGGTGCTGGATGACAAGATACCTTCCATAAGGCAGTATTCCCAGCTCAAGGAATTGAGCCAAGTTCTGCAGCTCTTCTTAGAAGCCACAACGATAGTGCAAGGTGACAAGGAGGTGACTATTTCAGCAGTTGTGCCATCGGTTGTTGGACTGCATCACCACTTGGAACATCTGCAGCCTGTATATCTGGGCAGTATGGTTGCAGTTTTAAGGAAGAGCCTGGAGACCAGATTTGCTGGCATTTTGGTGATAGCTGGTTTGCTGCCACCTGTGCCACAGAGCCAGTGTGAGAAACCTTTGGGTTTCCACAACTATATCTGCGTCATTGGTGCTGTGTTGGACCCTTTCTACTGATCCAGAAAATCAGTGACAATGAAGAGGAAACCATTGCACTGAAAGAAAAGGTATTAACTTCAGTTCTGCAGCAACCTGAAGAAAAATCAACCAGGGCTGCTGTTGTCACCTGCTCAGTCTTCCAGCACTGAAGCGGTGTCTGAAGGCACTCCACAGAAGAAGAAAGCCTGTGTTTCAACTTCTCTGTTTGTGTACTTTAAGCCCAGTACTGGAATGAGCTCAGCCTCTGATTCTTCACAACTGGATTTTGGCACTGAGATGTGTTCTTATAGTTCCCTAGTGACTCAAAGCATTGAGTGTAGCCCAGTGAATGCATTCAGATTTTGAGAGAGGAATCACAAAGAGCTGAGATTACTCAGTGCGGCTACTCTAAGTGTGTTTCTGATTTCGGCAAGCTCAGCACCAGTGGAGCGGGTCTTCGGTGAGGGTGGAATTGTGATGAGACCTCACTGCCAGACTGGAGGCCAAGCTTGTAGAGAAAATTATCTTCTTTAAATGCAGTCTTGATAAGTTTGAATAATTACAGCAAAATTATTTTTGTGGAATGTCTTGAGTGTTAGTGTCACAGCACCAGCTGGGGGCCGATATTACCATCTCATACTTAGAAAATTATTGTTTATTGAGATGCAGTTTTGTTATAGTTGAGTAAGAGGACAGCTTTGTGTCAATAAATGATTTTGATTTTGATACTAGTATGCTTTTCAAGCCAACTTTTTTGGTGACAATCAGATGCTCAAGGGAAAGGCAGATGAGACCAATGGTGCATGGTTCACAAGCCTCAGATCTCCCCGCACAGAATCCACCCACCTCTCCTTGTCCATCACTGCGTTGTCCATCACTGCATAGCAGATTTTCTCTTTCATCTTGAAAGATGTGCAGCTGGTTTTTAATAGGGACTTAGGCTTGGGATTCAGAATTTGGTTCCAAAAACTTGGATTTGGGACCCGGACTGAAAGACTTGCCAACATCTCTGGAATTAACCCAGTTTGATCCCATAAGAAAGCAGGGTAGAGCCTGGATCATTATTCTAGACCAGTGATCATGCATCTTTTTGAGCGCGAGTGCCCAAACTGCAAAATCAAAATCAACTTATTTATTTCGAAGTGCCAATATTGCAATTAAAACCCGGATGCTGAGGTTTTAGTTTAGAAAAAACAACTGCTCCCGCACTGCAAGAGTTAAATGCTCTTTTCTGCTTTCCCTGTGGGCGATATTAAGAAAGAAATACTTACCAGTCCTCTAATCCCCCATTGGGCTAGACTGGTAATGGTCGCCATTGCACCCCACTGCTGGACCACTGCACCAGCAGAAGGGAGTGCCAACATCCAGGACTGGAGGATGGGTAAGTATTTTTCTATGGCGACTTATGGCTCGTGTGCCAGCTGCGGCATGCGTGCCATAGGTTCGCAATCACTGTTCTAGACTGACAACTTCTTTCAGTGGCTACTTGTTGTGCCACTTGCAAACAGTGGTTACCAGCTCCCTTCTCCCTGGGTGGTGAACTAAATTGAACTGTGGCCTTAAAACCCATTCCTTTCTGGGGACCCTAACCCTCCATGACCACCATTCTTTGCTTATCCTGTATACAGTTTCTCTTCTCAGCAAGTCACCAGCTGCACATCTCAGTAAGCTTTTGTCCATCCATAGGGATCCTTCAGTCTCGAGAGACTATGGTAACATGCTCTGAATTGAGGAGTGTCCTCTCCAGAGCATGGAGCCCGGGTAAGGTAATATGGAGGATAGGCTGTTACCCAAGCAGCAGATCCCCCCTCTCCACATTGCTGAAATGGTCCAATGGAAAGGCAAGAGCCAATACAACTGGTTCCAGCAATGTCGCAGGAGTTGGCTTTCTTCCCCTACCTTTTCTCATTCTGGTGGTCTCTCTATATGTTAAGAGATCAACTTCCTCATCTCCAGCTGGCATGGCCAGTTGTAGTCAAGATACCTAGAGGGAAATTTTTAAAGCTGATCTAATCTCGCTACTGCTAATCTAATCTAGCTACTGGACTGAAATAGGATGGTTTGCACCAAAAACATTTCTGAAAGGTTCACCGCAATTTTTCAGAAAACTTTCATAGGAAAATATCTTTTAGTACCTGTAGATAACATTTTGCTGAACTTCCTTTTACTAACTTAATTTTATAATCATCTCCTTATGTGTTTTTAAAAAATTGTTCCTTCTGTTTTGAATAGTTTTGTAACTCTAAATTTTAACTGGCGAGCCAAGACCATTTGTGTTATAATATACTAAGATTGTCTAACATTGCATACTTTTATTATATAAACTGTACTTCTATATACAGTATATCTTTTTCTAAATTGCATTGTCTATAATCTTCCTTGTTCCCTCCCTCCAACTCTTTCCTTCTATTCCCCCCTCCCTTTCTACCCTCCCTCCCCCTCTCCCTAACCCCACTATAGGCTATGAAATGAAACTCCAGCTCATAATAATTTGAGCTGAGCCTTGTAGGTTGATGTGAAGCCAGGAACTGTACACGCCCCTGTGGGAAGATCACCCCATCTCACAGCCCACTCTTGCCCTACCATTTTATATTAAATTTGGCATATAATATGGATATATTATACTGTGTCTACATCCTACTATATTCACTATTACACATTTTATTTAACTGCTTATGCACTTAGACACTACTTGTTTATATCTTAAACTTGTATAAGCATGTACTATTAGCTAATATTACGTTATATTACATTACATTATATTTTCTTCTCTTTTTAATAAGGAATCTTATGTAGTTTCTGAAACTACATGTTTAGTAAGTAGCAGCTGTCTCATGTTGGCAGTTATCTTCAGTTCCAGATAACAACTGTTACTGTATCCTTGAGAAATTCACTTTCTCCTTCCAAGTTTCAGTACTCCACTGCTGCCTTTTAAGATTTTTCCCCCTGTTCTACTTTTCTCCAGCGAAGCTGCATTTCCTCTCGCTGTTCTGTCCTCTCTATACTCGTCTCTGCCAGATGTACTATATGTATGTCAGAGAGGAGACTCTTCCTTTGCTCAAAAAAACCATGCAGCTGTGTAATTGTAGTAATAGATTTTGATGTGTTTCCATACCAGATAGTCAGTTTAAAAGGAAAATCCCACATATGTTTAATTTTCCTCTCCAGCAGAATCTTTGTACACTGTCGCCATTGCTTATGTCTCTCTACTGTCTCTGGTGCAAGATCCTGATGCAGTTCCACTTTATGCCCTTCAAATGCCAATTCTTTGATGTTATTTAAAGCACAAAACATATCAGCTTTCACTGCATACGAAGCAACTCTCACAATTACATCTCTCTTTCTTGATTGCTGTTTTGGTCCAATTCGGTGGATATGGTCCCCATCCCTATCCGTTAACTCTATATTGGGGCAAAGTTCTCGAATCCAGTTCAAAACTAATTGTTTCAACTCACTGTCCTTCTCACTCTCATTTTCCTTAAAAAACCTCAGACAAATGTTCTGACATTTTTGTTTATTCTCCTGATCAACCAATCTGCCCTTTAATTGCCCCATCTCTTCTTCTGTCTCGTCATGTCTAGATTGTAGATTTTGTGTCAACTCGAAAGCAGCATCAGCAGTTTGTTCTACCTTACTGATGCTTGCTTTAACCTCCAAAAGGGTTTGTTTTAGGGGTGAAATAAGACTTTTCATATCATTCTTTAAGTCCTTTCTTAATTGTTTTATAAGCATCTTCATCTCATCATTTGCTCCATTAGCTTTTTTCCGCCCCTTCCCTTTTTTCTTACCAGACGCCTCCATTTCACTCTCAGACTCCTCCGATGTCTCAGTCAGATCTGTTTGATCCTCCTCATCAGAGATGACTTTGGGCTTATTTTCTTCTGGTGTCTTCTTTGGCTTTCCCATATCTATTCATTTTGAAGTGTTTTCAGTTTACAAACTTTCACACATATTTTGACTATTACTCCTGGGCTTAGAGCAGAGCTAATCTATGCTGCCATTTCACCAGCAGCAAACCACGCCCCATGTATGTATGTATGTATGTATGTATGTATGTATGTATGTATGTATGTATGTATGTATGTATGTATGTATGTATGTATGTATGTATGTATGTATGTTACCAATATATTTGCAGAGAATTATTGTCTTAATCACGTACAGGAACATAAAATGTTTTCATTTGATTTACAGCTATTGAAGACTGAAGAGAGGACAACATGAGAGATACCGAAATAAAGAGACTACTGTCCGTGAATATTATCTGTATATTTTCCATTATTGTTGCCACTGTCGCTCCTTCTCTGTTTTTGGAGAATTTCTCAATCCTGGGAACACACTTGACATGGTTGAGCATCTGTTCAGCAACTGTTGGGACTGTAAATATAATTTTGTTTATTATTCTTAAACCAAATCCATCCACTAGGAGAAGTTCTTTCGCCCACAAGGTAAGTTTCAATCTTGCTAAACCAGAGTTCTTTCTGTATTTTGGATTCTAGTAATATTTGGCACCTTTCTGGTCTTTAAAATGTATTACATCAGTTACAGCTGTAAACCTTTCAAGAGTCATGTTAGGTAAGTTAGAAAGGTGGTTTGCCTTCAGTTATATAATAAGTTCATCCCTGAGAACAGATCTGAACTGAGCACATTTGGGCGTACTGCTCAGTGTTTCAGTGCCAGGTATTTGTCACAAAAGTAGAATATATTTAACCATCATACTTTATAAACAAAAGATACACTTATACAGTAATATCTTTTGTAGATGAATTCATTTGTTAGTCCAAATTAGAGTATGCCTGCTGAATCTTTTTCAGATTTATTTTTGTTGACTTACAGAAGTCCTGTTGATTTATTTGGTCAACTCTAGCTCACAGTAACAGTTGAACGCATATTATGGTCTTTGTATGTTTTTTAAAAGATGATTCTTTCTCAAAATATGGTTTGTCCTGATTATTCATTCGTAGCTGTGCTGGCTAGAGGTGAGGTTGTGCACCAAAACTATTCAAAGGACCACAGTTGCCCACCTGTGTGTTAAAAACCTTTGAGACATCAAAATGTTATGATCTGGATTGTTAGTTTCTATGGGAAAGATTAAATTTTTATTTAGCACTCTAGGTAGAACCATAGAGACTTCAAATGCTCCAATTATATACTCAGCTTGTGAGTAGTTTGTGGTCCTAGACTCACATGTAGCCCTCAGCTTGATTTAAAAAGTTTTCTGCAGGCAATTAGTTCAGACTCTGTCCTTCTCTGGTAGCCTGCTGGGCAGGTAGGAAAAGGGAGAAGGCGTGCAGGGGAAAATGACAAATTGTGAGGATGGCCTTGCCTACCACCAACATGTGCTACCCCAGCAAATTGTGGAAAAAAAGGTTTGCCATATCTATTTAACCTAGGAATACGCCCAGTTCTGAGTAGACATACAGGAATACATTATTTTGGTTATTGCACCCTTTGTTAAGATAAGGTTCATGATAATAATCCTGGACTTGTTTGGGTATTCTTTATGACAATCTTCTCCTGTGCTATCATTGGCTCCATTGTTCCTATACCTTCATTAAGGTAAAGGTTCCCCTTGACATTTAGTCCAGTCGTGTCCCAATCTAGGGCGTGGTGCTCGTTCCTGTTTCCAAGCCGTAGAGCCAGTGTTTTGTCCGTAGACAGTTTCTGTGGTCACGTGGCCAGCACAACTTAGACACGGAACACCGTTACCTTTCCACCGTGGTGGTACCTATTTATCTACTTGCATTTGCATGTTTTTGAACTGCTAGGTTGGCAGGAGCTGGGACAAGCGACGGGAGCTCACTCCGTCGTGTGGATTCAATCTTACGACTGCTGGTCTTCTGACCTTGCAGCACAGAGGCTTCTGCGGTTTAACCCACAGCACCACCACATCCCTCCATTACTGCCATACAAATGTTCGGACAGACATAATTTGAGTATTCCTTAAAAGGTTAGAAAATGTACAGTGGTGCCTCTCATTGCGACGTTAATTCATTCCGCAAAAATCGCTGCAGAACAAAAACGTCGCTATGCAATATTAAAAAGCCCATAGAAACGCATTGAAACCCCTTCAATGCATTCCTATGGGCTTAAAACTCACAGTTCAGAGAAGATCCTCCATAGCACGGCCATTTCCGCTGCCTCTTAAGCGAGGAATCCATCCCTAAACACAGTGGGAGGCCATTTTGTTTCCCCGGCGGCCATTTTGAAACCGCCGATCAGCTGTTTTAAAATCTATTCGCGAAGGCTTTCACGGCTGGGATCTAATGGTTGTTCTGGGGTTTTCGGGCTCTTTGGCCGTGTTCTGAAGGTTGTTCTTCCTGACGTTTCGCCAGTCTCTGTGGCCGGCATCTTCAGAGGGCAGCAACCTGTTTTAAAATCGTCGCTTTGCGATGCTCGGTTCCCAAAGCGGGGGACCAAGCATCGCAAAGGGAAATTCCCCCATAGGGAATATCGCAAAGCGATAGCTTTTGAAATCGCAAAAAATGCGTCACAAAGCGATTTCATCACTAAATGGAGCGAACGCTATGCGAGGCACCACTGTATAGCAATCTTGTGATATCAAGACTTTTACCTCACAGCAATCCAATCAAGCTTAATCACACAAGCGAGCGATCACTATGCGAGGCACCACTGTATAGCAATCATGTGATATCAAGACTTTTAGCTCACAGCAATCCAATCAAACTTAATCACACAAACATGATGTAATGAGATATTGTAACCTTCTTTAATCCTGTCTTGTCTTCTCTAGTGTTATTTTTCCTTATGTTAACTTTACTGGGTGCATGTTTGACATGAACCTGTCTTGTTTTCCACTATGCGAGGCACCACTGTATAGCAATCATGTGATATCAAGACTTTTAGCTCACAGCAATCCAATCAAACTTAATCACACAAACATGATGTAATGAGATATTGTAACCTTCTTTAATCCTGTCTTGTCTTCTCTAGTGTTATTTTTCCTTATGTTAACTTTACTGGGTGCATGTTTGACATGAACCTGTCTTGTTTTCCATAAAGTACCATGTACATAGGTGCTGGTGAGTGTGTATGAGTATACACACACATACACAAAACACTAAAGTCCCTTTTTTATTATTTATAAGGTGGCAAAGTTTCTAAAATGCTGCGTATACTTCTTGATGTCTTGTATCCTGTTCCATGGAATCATCGTCCTTTATGGAGCACCATTAATAGAGTAAGTCTAAAAAACGTTCATTGAAAATCATAAAGCTGGAGTAGGCCACTGTGACCTTCAGATATTATAGGATTTCAATTCTTATAATCCTTCATCGTTGACTAGATTCATTAGGACTGATAGAGGAGTTATGGGCCATACCTGTCTAGAACGCCTTGTGGCAAAAGCCAAGTGTTCTACGTGTAGTTTTTTGAAGTTGTGTTCTTACTAGGTTAGCATGCCCACTGTTGGGGCCTTTAAGCCTACAGTCCAGTTCATGCTTATTGAAAAATAAATCCCTATTAGCACTCTCTTAGTACTATTTCTGAATGTAGACATGGGCTTACATGTCCGAAATAGAGTGGAATTCTAACTAAAGTAGAAAGCAGCATCTCATAGATAATACCAGGCCACCACTTTCACTCTACTGTAATCCACAACACTATGATATAGTAGCAGCACATATCAAGAACCAGAAATATGTGCATTCCCAATAATTCAGTCACACAACAACAAAACTGCCCATCCTGGAGGCTTTCTGGAACATGAGGCAGATCTTTGTGATCCTTTTTTTAAAAATGGGGAAATAAGAGCACTATATTTAGCCCACCTCTGTTTTAATATGATGCCTAAACAGCTACTGCTTTAAATTTTACTGCTCCTGTCCCCTTAATGTTGCCTACTATTCTTTCCATACACCAGGGGTTGATAATCCACAGTCCTCCTTATGTTGTTGAAAACCAGCTTGCTTTCTTGTACAGCCTATTGAAAAGAATTATGGAAGTTGTAGCCTAACAGCATCTGGAGGGTCACAGCTTTCCCATTTTGTGCCATGTAATATGGAACTTAAAATAAGTGAAGCTCCTTTTTTCTTAAGGCTGCCAAAATAGAAGTTTAAAATGCTTCACTGACACTCATGTCCCTTATCCCCCCCCCCATTGATTCCTTTCAGGTCAGTCCTGGAGACATTCTCATTTGCACTTCTTCTGTCCACGTTCACTACCTTGCACTGCTTGTGTTTGCTGGGACCAAATATTCAAGTGTGGCTCAGAGTGTTTAGCAAAAATGGGTAAGTTGTACATGTATTTTTCTTTCCTCTTCTGTGCCATGGAGCCAGTTGAAAGGAGTCACATTTTATTTATTAGCACAATCCAAATTAATATAGAAATTAAATTAAATGAGTGTAGTAGAATCTTTATCTAGCACAAAAGCTGACTGTAGAACTGTCTAGTTATTCTAGTAAGAAGATAACCTTTTGCAGAAAAAAGTATCAAACATCATTGGAGACGGAACCCGACAGAATATAATCGGAAAGCTGTCAGGCTCGCAACTAACCATTACCTTGGTAAGGTGAGGGCTGCTAGTCGAGCTCACTTCGCTGTCCGGATAAGCGAAGCTTCAAATCAGCAGGCGAAACTTTTCCATACACTCTGCAATCTATTAAGAATTGTTCTAAGTGATAGGCCTCCTACTAGTATCTCACCGGACCAATTTGTGACATTTTTAAACTCTAAAATGTAGGCCATCTGCTGAGCACTCTCCTTTTTTGAACGCAGTAGATCAAGCAGAGATGTCCAGCGCTCTGCCTTGCCCAATGAGACTTGATCTCTTTCAGCCTGTGATGCCAGATATGGTGGACAAAGTGCTTGACCGCTGTCGTGCCACCACCTCCTCCCTTGACCTTGCCTGGCCTGGCTAATCAAAGCAGCCAGGCCTATAACAATCGAATGGGCCACTGCAATAATTAATGGGTCTCTCCCATTAATTAGTCCCATTAATTAATGGGTCTCTCCCATTAATTAGACACTCATTAGGCCCATTAGGAAGAAACCGAATTTGGCAGTGGATGATATTGGCAATTATTGTCCCATCACCAATGTTTTTTCCCTTAGTAAAGTGGTAGAGACAGTGGTGGCTTACCAGCTTCAGGCCCTTCTGGATGAAACCAACACCCTGGATCTATTTCAGTCTAGCTTCAGGCTGTGCCATGGTACGGAAACGGCACTGGTCGCCCTGTTTGATGGCCTTCTGAGGGAAGCCAATGGGACAAAATGTCTCTTGGTCTTCGATATCTCAGCTGCCTTCGATACCGTTGACCATGGTATCCTCCTGGGGAGGCTGTCCAAGATAGGAATCTGTGGTCTGGCGTTTGCCTGGATCCAAGGCTTCTTGGAGGACTGTCCCCAGAGAGTACAGCTTGGGGATAGTGTATTGGCTCCATGGAATGTCAATTGTGGGGTTCCGCAGGGCTTGATTATATCCCCAATGCTGTTTAATATCTACATGAGGTCGCTGTGTCAGGTCATCAGGGAGTGTAGGGCTTCGTGTCATCGGTACGCTGATGACACCCAGCTCTACATCTCCTTTTTTCCTACAACAGTGGGTGCTGTTCCGTCCCTTCAGCGCTGCCTGGATGACGTACTGGGATGGATGCAGGCGAATGGTCTGAGACTGAACCCAGATAAGAAACTGTATACAGGATAAGCAAAGAATGGTGGTCATGGAGGGTTAGGGTCCCCAGAAAGGAATGGGTTTTAAGGCCACAGTTCAATTTAGTTCACCACCCAGGGAGAAGGGAGCTGGTAACCACTGTTTGCAAGTGGCACAACAAGTAGCCACTGAAAGAAGTTGTCAGTCTAGAACAGTAATGGCAAACCTATGGCCAGACTTCTTGCTGGGGTGAATAAACATCAACATATCTCCCCCACTCTGGCGGCCTTGCATTGGCTACCTGTTCACTTCCGCATTGATTTCAAAGTATTAATGATGACATATAAAGCCCTAATGGTTTAGGATCTCAATATCTGGTGCAACACCTTCTCCCACCTAGATCTACCCGTATCACTCGCTCTAGCGAGGAGGGGTGGTTGAGGGGCCTTTTGCAGAGGGAGGCCTGAAGAGAAAGAACAAGAAAGCGGGCCTTCTCGGCAGTAGCTCCTCAGCTCTGGAACAATCTCCCCCCAGAAATTTGTCTGGCTCCCTTGCTGGGCATTTTTAAGAGCCTACTTAAGACCTGGCCCCTCAGACAGGTCTTCCCTCCTGTCAATACCTAACTTATTTCGCCATCCTCTAGTGTATTAATATTGTTGTTTTATTTTATTTTAATAGTGTTGTTAGCCTCCCAGAGTAGACTTCGGTCTAAATGGGCGTGATATAAGTTAGATAGATGGATAGACAGACAGACAGATCAATCAAATATTTCATCCGCTACCCATTGTTTGTTCTCTCTTATATTCTTGGACAATGTATGTCCTGCTGAATGCAATATCGTTGTTTTTATGGTTTCTCACAGGTGTTCCACATTCTTCGTATTTATACTTCTAGTTTCCTCAAAATAGTCTTTTAATCCTCTCATTAGTTGTGGTATTCACCTTTTTTTATTTTAACTTTTTTAGTTTTACCCTCAATTTTACAACAACTGAGTTATGGTCTGAATTTATGTCCTCTCCAATTTATGTTTTCTCACTTAATACGCTCTTTTGGAATGTATGACTTATAAGAGCGTAGTTGATTTGATTACATACAATAGGCAACATCTTGTTGGCTTAGTTCCACCTGTACACACTAGGTCACGGTGGCAGAAGTAATCCAGTTTACATTGTACGAAGTTGTGCAATAGGATTTTGCACAGTTTGTTCATCAGTATGGTGAAGAAATGTCCAAATCATGGTGGTCGTAAAGTGAGCCATATATTTAATAGGACCATTTTTGTTTCTTGACAAAATTGAGGGTTTTTTCCTTGTTTGTTTCTAATCCATGATCGTCTACTACACTATTGATTCTCTCTTTACTTACTTTCATGTTGAGATCCCCTAAAAATAATAGTTATGTTTCTTCATGGAATTTGGAACAATATTAAATTAGTGATGCATTTCATCTACTTTTTCATCTGCTATATCTGTAGTATGTGCATATATTTGCATTATAGCTACTTCTATCAGTATTCCATATAATTATAACAGTTTTATCTCATACTGCTACACAACTTTTCACAAACCTTTCAATGTCATTTTCAACTATTATTCCTATGCTAAATTTATCCTGAATAACAGACTGAAATCATCAGTATTTTTTAGTTTTCCATTGACACATCACCTTGTGTTGCTAATTCCAAGTACTGTACCTTTAGATCTAGTGTTTCCATTTGTTTTATTACATATGCTAATTTTCTTGCCTCATATTCTTACCTTCCAAGTTCCGCTCTTAATTATTGCTTTTAAAAAGTTAAACCCAGTGATTCTTTGTAGTGACTAATCCCTGAAGGTCTGCTGGCGACTGCGGGCCATTTGATTATTTATTTCCGCAATTTTGGCTTTTCTTGGGAGGTCTAATGTGTCAGTTTCCCCTTTGCCTTATGGATTGCAATACTATTACTGTTCTAACAGATAGTCTGCGGCTTGTAGGTAACTATGATGAAGCTTTATAAGAGGTAGCCGGGTTGGTCTGTACAAGCATATCAGGCAAAATCCAAAGAAACAAAACAAAACAAGAACATAGACGTGATCCATGAAAGCTCACATTAAAATGTAGTTTGTCTTTAAAGTGCCACGTTTTTGTCCATGTTCTGTTTCTTTTAATTTTGCCTGATATGATGAAACAGTATTAATCATTGTTATCTCCACCTTGGTATAATACTGAAAATGCTGCTGCCTCCAGGATGATCATGGTGGCCAATAAGTTCATTATTTGAAAGTTGCCTCTGATAGCCTCTCATGTAGTTTAACCATAACATATTTTTCTGTTTATAAGGCAACCCAATGTATAAGATGACCCTCCCTTTTCTAACCCCAAATTAGAAAAAGGAGGGGTCAAAGGGCTCCCTTTCTGCTAAGCCCTGTGCCTTGGCAAAAGGCAAGGAAAGCAGTTTTCAAAGTGACTGCCGCTTTTCCTTGCCTTTTGAGAAGGTATGGAGCTTAGCAAAAAGGAAGAGAGAAACGCCTCCCCTTCCTTTTTGCTAAGCCCCATGCCTTCACAAAAGACAGTGGCAAAGAGCTGCCTTCTATGTATAAAACGACCCTCAATTTTTTAAAAAAAAAAGAGCTGCCTTCTATGTATAAAACGACCTTCAATGTTTAAAAAAATTATTTAAGGAAAAAGTGTTGTTTTATACATGGAAAAATACGGTACTTACCAGAGTGTGGCGGCTGTCATACTTAATAGCTTCTTGGAGTCATAAATCAGAGTTGAAAGTGGCTTGGGGACCTGTACTTGACGTGACCGTCCAATAACTCTGAGTGTAGAAGTGCTGTCTCTAAGCAACTTCCCATTATATACCCCTTGTATCTATTGCACCCATTCTTTCCGGGTCTTGGTTAGTGACTCTTGGGGTTCTAATTAAAGAAATAATTACACAAATTAATCCAAGTGACTCTTGAGGTTCTAATTAAACAAATAAATACACAAATTAATCAAGTCTGCTTCTCCTGAGCTGTAACATGAATGTAATACAAATGTTTGAGCTTTATATTTTTTCTTTAATTTATTTCTTCATTGCCTCATAGGAGTTGTTCTTTGAGCAATGTACCAAAACATTAGAAAAAGTTTATTTTTTTTCATAATCAACTTTGAGCAAAGCAGCACTTACAGTAAGAAAACTGAGTCAAAGAAAAGTGAAAAAGACATTATAGTCATCAACAAATATGAAACCTCTGATTTGGAAATGAGGAGAAGATCATAAAACTTTGTTTTAAATTAGCCACTTTAATGTATGTCTAAACCTTAAACTATGGTTACCTTGAACCCTAGTGAAAGTGAGTCATTTTCACAAAGTGGAGTATGAAATTGGCTTCTTGCCATTAACAATTAACCATAATTAAGATTAAATACATCTTTCTGGAGTTGGATATCACAAAAAGCTGCAGAAATGGAAGCCAAAAAGCATACAAAGGTAAGGTTTGCTGTGACTTCTCTGTGTCACAATAAACTGGTAGTGTTACATCCCAATGAAGCCAATGGTGGTAGCCAGAAATTGGCTTATATTTTGAATATACTACTGCAAATTCAGTAGAGGCAGCGGATGATATACAATATTTATTTCCTCCCTCACTTCCAAATACAGTGGTGCCTCCC